GGACAGTGAAAATGAGACCCCAGTGCTAAAAGCAGAGCAAAATCATTTAGATTTGATACCCGCTGTATACGAGGGAGGTTTAAAAATTTGGGAATGCACATATGATCTACTAAGTTATTTAAGTTCAGAAAAAATACAACTTGAAGGTCTAAAGGTACTTGATCTAGGTTGTGGCTCAGGTATTCTAGGGATCTATAGTTTGTCACTTGGGGCCACATGTTACTTTCAAGACTATGTAAGTGTAGTTTGAACAATCTTCTTCATATGCCCCTTTTCTGGATGTTGCACAAAATATCTAAAAATAGCCTAGTAAAATACAGGATCGGATTATTTTGCCTTACATAACATGTATAATTATATAATTAGTTTATTTTTCAAATATTATATATTCCAGAATGATGTTTTACAATATTTTACAATACCCAATGTTCTAGTGAACAACAAAGGATTATTAGAAAGAAGCAAATTTTATTCTGGTGATTGGGAATCGTTTGCAAACTTAATTGGTGATAGCTTGACAGAAGATGAAAAGTTTGACTATATTTTCACCTCGGAAACTCTGTACAATGTACAGTCATATCCAAAAATACATAAGTTAAGTTACTTTTGAAAAAAAGTGGCAAGATGTATCCTTTAGTAAGGCATATGATGATAAACTTTTTAAAAATTCTTGCCTATCTGAGCTGGATGCAGGAGCTGATTGAGATGATTGCACTGTGTTGTTAAGCCCCAAAACTGAGTTCCAGAAGCCCAATAGAAGAAAAAAATTGAGTGAATCGTGATGATTTTGTCTCCCCCCATTTCCACAATTATTACCATATGAGGTTACTCTGCATCACATAGGAGTCAATTGATCAATGAGACCTACAGTCACCCTAGATAGCTACTTTCTACCCCAAAATTGCTGAATTTCAAATTATATTTTCTTTAATGTCACAACAGATATCTTGCAGCAAAGAGTTTCTACTTTGGTGTAGGAGGTGGCATTCCATATTTTAAAGAATATTTAGATAAGAACAAAGTTTTCAAATACCTCACAGTTTCAGAACATTCAAGTGGAGTTAAAAGAGCTATACTAGAAATAAAATTCATCTAATATAGTATGCAGTTTTATTGCACTAATGGTTTATCATCTATTTGGAAGACATTGATTATCAAGTTCTTAATATTAATAAGGTAAAATGTAATGCAGCAAATACTGTACAGATGTAAAGATAGCAAAAACAAATATATAAGTATAAAAGATGAAATTTTGGATCAAATCAGGTATAATAATAATGTTTATTGAAAAAAAAAATACAATTTATGAACAAAAGAAACACGCATATTCTGCAATAAATATACACGACACCACAAAAGCAAATGCTTGTGCATGGGGAAATATACTTATTGAGGTCATACACTGTCAACTTATCATTGCCCTTCTAGTACATGTTTACCTATATGACATTGAATATCTATAGAAGAAGCTATTAAAATATACAAGGCATTCAACATTTTTTAATAGTAAAAGCCTACATCTGAAAAACAGAAATATGAAAGAATTACCTAACCAACAGTTTACTGATTTATTAAAACATAGGTATATACTTTTTAAGTGATACTAAAGACAAGAAAAGAGTAATGAACTTTATCGACAAAAAAACAATAAATGAGTCAAACGTATTTTATATAATAAAATTGGTAATAAACTTTTAAATTTCAACATGACCCTTTAAATGTAAATGAAAAATTTTACGTATTTTCTATGATTTTGTGAACTTGTTGTTTCAAGTAAGAACAATATATTTAAGTTCCAAATACCTAGGTGAGATTTAGTATTTTAAACAATCCAATTCTAATATGATTATTATGCTTTTGCCATCTTTCAATATCTTAACAAATCTACACCCGTCTCTAACAAACACTGATATCCCTCGCACAATACATTGCCTAAAATTACCTACAAAAATTGCCTAAATTTGTTCTTATAATAATGGAATTACTTAATGAACTGATGCTAAGGTTCTGGATCTTTTGAGTCAGAGTTAGAAAATCAACTTTTGCAATATATGAAAAAGAGCAGAAATTTGAACTGGAGATTGTTGCTATTTACAAAAAAATTAAAATAGGTGCCGGAAAAGACCAGAGTTAAGGAAACAGTCGTTCATATATCCAACCATCTTCACCACGATGCGTCAGTATACCATCTGGTTCATCTGTCTTTGGTCTGCGAAATCTGATTCTATCATGGATTCTATCTGTTTGACCTTGCCAGAATTCTATGGTATAAGGTTTAAGAATATATCCACCCCTGTAAAAAAATGAAATACTGATACATATTATTTGACCGCGGGGGAACATTTGACCATAAAGTACATCCTTAAACATTATCTAGTATTGGCCTTGAAAAGTAACCTTCAACAGATTTAACTTTAAAGTGGGCAACCTAGTCGATAGTTTTTAGTTCTAGAAGCTTCCCCTCTCTGTCCTGTGGTTTGAAAATCTATTTTCAAGGTTACATCTCAAAAACGACGGACTCCATAGCAACACTAAACGCGCTCAAAGTCGAGTGTTTCAAGGTCAAATGATATCAATGTTGGCACCCCAGGTCAAGCTTGGAATTAGTACATAAGGTCCACTCCCACTTGGAACATTTACTATCTACTTCCATATTATAAGAATTCTATATTTACCATAAAGGAGGTCTAGGCACCTCTCCTTCTTTATACTTCTCCTTCAGTTGTGATGCAATCTGTTCTATCTCATTTCTGCTAGATACAGATTTGCTTTGATCACTACATAGAGCTCCAATCTGACTCTGATAAGGTCTGTTTCTAAAGTACTGATCTGCATCCTCAAAAGGAAGCTTCTCTACATCCCCCTCAATTCTTACCTTAAAAAATATTTTGCAATATATCTTCTTTTTTTTACCTTATCAACTGGGATTTTACAATGTATTATATTATCTGAAAATGATATCTAGTATTTATTTGTTTATTACCGATCTACTATAATGTTCCCAGTAAAAGGTCAAAGCAGCTCTCGGATTTTCTGCCTATAAAAGCAAAACAATTAAAATGTTTCTGATTTCATGTTCTCAAAACGTACTAACTGTTGTCCTTTCCGACTACTATAGTGTGTGAAAAATATGAAACCTTCTTTGCTATACCCTTTTAATAGGACAAATCTTGCTGATGGATATCCATCCCTGAAATACAACATTTCAAATGAAAGGTGAGAAGATCAAACATTTTATTGTACTAGACAAGATAAAAATGAAGCTAAATGTTTCTTCTACAACCATCCCAAAAAGTTGAAATTTGCTGCTGTAGAGCAATAAAGTAGCAAAAACACTTGCTAAAAATCTATATCTGTATCAAGAGATCTTTGCCTTGTGTGTCAAATGAATCATGTGACAAAGTAATATTCTGATTAATTATATATATTTTTGTGACGAATAAAGTTTGATATTTTATCTCTGTTGACAGGTAACAAAATGTCACTTTTTATGAAATTACTTTTATCCACGGAAAAAAAAAATGAGTACTTTTTTCCCGGATATTGTACAAATGATTTAGCTGGCAATGATTTTTGTGACACTCCTTTGGCCACTTCTACTAATTTCGGTGGAGTCTAAGAAAACTCAGATTCAGACATTTTTTACTTGGTAGTATTAAAAATCACTTCTAAACAACCACTAGGTTCACAATTTTTAAATCAAATCACAAAGTTATACTGACAGCTATTTGATTACCTTGAAAGTTTCCTTAGCAATGCAGGTCTAATTATCGCTATAAGTACAACGTAGCCTACTAATTTCAAAGTTCAAATTTCACATTGATAATTTTCTGACATATATTGTGATAATATAATTTTCCAATATTAAATGGACGTTTTTCCCGTTAGAGAAAAAAATTGTGTATGATACACTGGAAAAATACTAGATTTTAGCTTTCAGTTCTAGTACTTTTTTTCCCTTGTATGATAAATAACTATATTTCCAACAATAAACTTCAAATAATCCAGAACTGTCATTTACAGTGAACCAGATCAGTGTAGCTCATAGGTAGGAAACATCCTATCATTAATTTGTTTTAATGACTATGACTGATAGTTTCTCACAATTAGAAATTGCTTGGTGGAAATAACTGGTTGTGAAATGTAATTATGTTTGACAAAAAACGACATACTTTGTGCATGTTGACAGACACATTGCATTGGGTTCAACTGTCCTAGTGTCGGTCTTCACCACCTGGAACCATTTGTGGAACAAATCCAATGGTTCTTTTACCTCAATGTTGTCCTCGAGGAAATAATCATTTTTGTCGTGATATGGATGGCGCATACCTAAACAGAGTTTCCTGATCATTTTAGGATATAGTAAAAATCCTTTTGGTAAGGTTTCAAAGACATGGGTACTAAAAAAAGAGATTATTCCCTTATAATATGATAATGATCTTCACAACACCATTGAATCTATCAGCTTAAAAAGATTGAACTGTTCAAATAAATAATACTAGTAATATGCCTCAATCACCCATTGTGAATAGGTATGATATATATAAATTACTAAAATATGAGCAAAATCTTAAGACACATTTTCAACATTAAACATGAACAAGTGTTATATCTTTTTCAAATGAATTCCTTCTTGCGATTATTGATCTACAATATTTCCTAATAATATCGTTTTTACGTACCTGAGATATCCATGATTGGCGTCCTGTTGAATGTTCTTTGAAGTAGAGAGGAAAATGTATTACCTTGAAGGCTGAGATAAATAATTGTTTGTTTAACGTTTAATTGTAATATTTGTGCAAGTAATTTACCGGATTTTAGAAAGTCAAACAGAGGAATATGCATAGGGTCTAGAGCGCATACAATATCACATGTGGTAATCAAAAACTGGTCGAATCGAAGATACTTATTAGTATTTATCTATAGTTGATAAACTTGTCAAAACCACATACTCTTGCGCAATACTAATGAATAAAATCATTTAAATTTAATTCCATTTTCAGAGTTTGTTTTTGTATTTTGAAATGTTGAATGTTGACCGGATAGCTACTTTGTACTTTCATTAACATCTGACTACGTTTATTTTGAAAGAAAGGCTTATTTTATTCGTCATTGTTCTTATGAGAATATGTTGCAAATGAAAATCGTTGATGTTTTATTCCACCAAAATCTTTGAAATCAATTTTGCATTGTAGTTGGAAATTGTCTGAATTTCGATCCCTAAATTATACGAGAATGATGTAAACGTAGCCCATTCAAGAATCGGGTTAGTTTTAGTTAACATGTAACACATAGACAACCAGTAATTCTGTCGCTGAATTCCACTTACTCGATGTATACTCGCAGTAAGTACCTAAATCAAAATCTAGCAGTGTTGCCAACGGAGTCTTTTAAATTTAAAAATTTACCAATTTTACATCTGCCAAATATTCATCAATTACAAAGCATTTCAGCTGAGAAACTAAATCCAATTAGATCAATTCAGTACTCGAACGTACCTATCTCAAATTGTTTCTAAACGTCTAAAGACTTTCCCGAAGTTACCTCAAAAAGATTCAGGTTTTTAAAATTGTTAGGTACATTATAGTTCTAAGCGTCACGGTCAGATGAGTGCCTAGTATCAATGATTTTTTTGTTCCTATGAATTTCACAGTACGCTTTATAGAATGCTATATCCCCGCGTCCAAAAAATTATCCGAGATGAACCGAGACACCCTAACGGCATCTATGAGAAATTGTAACAGCTGTTTCTCTATTTACTATACAGGGTGTTGATTAAGTATGTAGTATGAGTAATTTTAAGACAAAAGTTCATATAAACATAGGTCCGTAAATTCTTTGTTCTCAAGATACAGGGTGTTAACATTTAAAAAAATGGTTTTTCGTACATTTATTAAATATCCTTTGCCCGATTTTGTTGTAATTTGGCAATGGTACTTATGACACTAAGGAGCTAATTTTGCTTTGACTTGATTACAATTATCAAGTTCAGTGGCGTCTCGAGCAAGATCTGAACGAATATTTGTGACAAAAAATATACACCACTAACTTTTATGCAATATTTATTATGTTCTTTGGACAAAGCAAATAGAAATACTACTTTTTTGTCTCTTGAATGAAGTACACTTACTTGCAAATCACTGGACCACACAAAGAATATGGGCAAACGTTCCTGTTGGATTTTTTTTATAATTTTTATTACTAATTATGTAACAACAACAAATAAACACTAAATTAAATACATTACATTAACATCTAAACTAATTAATTTTACTATACTAACGAATAGTAAATAATAGTCAATTGTTGCCTTGGAAAACGATTGCAGGATTTAGTAAACAAGTTAACAGTCCTCAACTATTTATATGCTATTAATTTATAATTTTAATAAAAAGTGTTTTAGTGGTAATTTTTTGTCCGATATTTACTAATATTGAAATGGCAGATATGCATTTCTGTTATGGAATGGCTCATGGAAATTTTAATGCTGCAAGACACATTTATCATGAAAGATTTCCTCTGCTTGTAGCTTGTAGTGCATAATAGAAGAATTTTTGTACGTCTCCATGCACGACTTTCAGAAACAGGCAGTTGTAAAAGATCGAAGGTTGTCATAGGGAGACCCGCAACGGTACGAACAGTTCAAATTGAAGAAGCTGTTTTAAATGAATTGAAGCAAATGCTTATATGTACCTGTACTCGGAAAATATTAATAATAAAGAACTCAATATTACCCATGTTACAGTGTGGTAGATTTTAGAGACCAGTAGCTATATCAATATCATATGCAACGTGTGCAAGTTCTATTTCTCAGAGATTTACCTTTAAGACTAGCTTTTTCTGATTGATTACGCAGGAAAATAGTAAGGAATTCAGGTTTTCTAAGTCGAATATTGTTTATATCTGAAACTTGTTTTTCTCCTCAATTCAATTATTAACTTCGACAACAATCACGTTTGGGCCGAAAACAATCCATACTCCTTAATAGAACATAATTGTAAGAACAGTTTTCTTTTAATATTTGGGTTGGGATTGTCGGTGACTATCTCATTTTCTTCCAACTAGAGAATGGAGAAGAATATCAAAGGGTTTTAGAATTTGTTTTACCTGGACATTTAGAAGTTCCAGCTATGAAAAGATTCACTATGTGGCCAAGCAATTTTTGGATGAAAATTATCATTATCGCTGGATCGGAAGAGCAGACCCAGGAGGCTCCCTTGCTCGCCCTTAGATTATTTTATCTGGGGACACCTTAAAGCGTTGGTATATAAAACTCTCATTGAAAGTGAAAAGGATTTACGGAATAATCATTAATTCGTGTGACATAATAAAAATACGCCAGATACACTTTCAGCAGAGTGCGTAGTTCAATGATGAGGCGGCTAGTATTGAAGTCGAAGATCGCCATTTCCAACACTTGATTTAGTGATTTTTTTAATTTAGTTATTAATCTTATTTAATATTTGTTGTTGTTGTTACATAATAAATAATAAAAAATTATAAAAAAAATAATTTTCAAAAGAAACTTTTCGCCATATTCCTTGTGTGATCCAGGGATATGCAATTACGTGGACCTTTTTATAGAAAACTAAGCAAGATACGAAAAAAATTTTAGAGACAAACAGTTTTATTTCCATTTGCCTAATCCAAAGAACATAATAAAAATTGCACAAAAGTCAATGGCGTACATTTTTCGACACAAATATTCGTTCAGATCGCGCTCGACACGCCACTGGACATAATAGATTTAATCAAGTTAGAGCTAAATTAGCTCCTTAATGTTATAAATACCATCGCCAAATTACGACAAAATTATGTAAAGGTTATTTAAGAACCTTACGAAAAACTTTTTCTTTAAATTTTAACACCCTGTATCTTGAGAACGAAGAATTTGCGGACCTATGTTTATATGGACTTTTTGTCTTGAAATTACTTAAACAATCGTATGTTAAATTTATGGTACATACATCAATTAACACTCTGTATATACTTTGAGTGATGAGGCATTAGCCTTTTTCGATAGACCGCACCTCCAGAGGAGGGGATAGTTGCAATGTTTTCGTTAGTCCACAGACGAAAGACCTAGCCTAGACCATGCTGATGAGTAGCCAAGAAGCACGAAACAGCAGTCGAATGGACGAAAGCATCATGATGTGTCTGAATAAGCTTAATTAGAATAATTTTGAATTACAAAAACACATTGGTCAAAATATAATGGAAATATGAGTTTTAGATCACAAATAAAAATAAATGCAGAAAATAGACAGTGTTTTAAATAAATTGAATTGTCCCGATTTTTGTTAGACATACAATGTGCAAGGTAGCCTTTTATTTTAGTTGTGCTGGTTTTGTGGTCACTTGCCTTTTGTGGCTGTATGATTCTAAACTTCTTGTACGGTTTGGCCACAAATATTACCGAAACTTTTCCATTAAAAGATTTATCAAGGCTTAGAAATTTTGGGTTTAGCTTCGAAAAAGAGCAAAGAAGCAACCTGGCATGACTGTCAGTAGTCAGTACTGTCAAATTAGCACTGTCCACTTGAGTGGTCATAAAATCTCTTTTTTTCGTCAACACTACTTATTTGCTGTCGCTGTCAGAAATAACGTAACGGATGATCTTCTTTTATTACATACATTTATGGATGCGGGGCCTTAGCATTAGGTTGGCCACGTTTATTAGAATGCGCTAATAAATGTCTCTATAAAGTGTCCAGAAAATAGAGAAGTGCGAAACTTAAGGTTAGATATTCGAAATGCACATTTTGTTCTTTAAATATTCCAAATTCAGACTTAGTAGAAAGAACAAGTCAAGGCTTTTTGTCCCAATTCTAATAGTCTGAAGTGAGGATCATACTACAAGTGCACTTGACAAAACTTAATTTTATGACAGTTCTTTCAAATTCATCCTAAATTCATATTGTAGGTAATATTTTTTAAAATGCGAGTGATTGCAGATAATTACGGTGTTGGACGATTTCAAGTAATAGTACTTCTTACATAATTTGCAAAGAGCACCTCAAGCCTGATGAAGGCAGATATTTTCACCGGTAATATTATTGATATACTGATACAACGCTGTCACCTTGGAAATCGTTGGTAATCAAGTACACCGCTTTTTTTTCTCCAACTCACCTACAGAGAATCGGCTTGTCACTTTGGATTCCTGCATGTAAAGTGATATCATCGGCAAAGTCGTGAATTGGATTGACCGTACAGGAAAGGAGGTCGTTGATATGTAAGAGGAACGATGGAGCCAAGACCGATCCCTTGGGAACACTCGCGTTGACGTTGTGAGATGAAGAGGAGAACCCATCAATTACGACGGATATCTTGCGGCTAGAGAGGAAGTCAGCCAGCCATCTGAGCTTCCCGGGAGGCCATACGATGAAAGTTTGCATTTATGCACCTACCCTTCACCTTACTTATAACAGAAAGCAGGGCTATAAACAGGTCTTAGATCCTTTTTTTTGGATGGGTTGTACGTTGTACATGTGCACATTTCCAGGAAAAAACCGGAGTGGTAAGATATCTGGAAGAGACGCTTAGTAACCTCCGCTGCACATCTCTTCAATACATCGACAGAAATAAAGTCCGGACAAAAAGCTTTGTTGATGTCGAGCGACAAAAGCACCCGTCTTACTGGCTTACCTATGCCTGAATGTGAATGTTGCTTCCCGCATAGTGTAGGGAAACCCTTCGAATCGACGGCACTCGGGCGTTGGGGGGACATCTATGGTGGAGTTGGCAGCAAAAAACTTTACAATCACTGAAACCTTATTGTTCCATCCTGGCACGAATTCGTTGGTTGTTATAATTTCTCCAATTTCAAAGACTATTTTTTCACCTTGGTGTACTGAAAATTTCATGAACCCAGAAAATTTATTTTGGCCTGGCAACAATTTTAAGTTATACTACCGTCTGCGAATACACATCGTGTAGCTGCGAATATTGAGTTTGCAACTATATGGTGGCTAGTGGCTACAGGCAGGTAGCAAAAGTTTTTATTTTACAATTTCCATATGCCTATGTGATTTGATTATTATCATCCTATATGTATCTCAATATTAAAATAATGTTCTCTTTTATATTTATTACAAAAACGCGGTAAGGTCATTTCTTTGCTTCGGGTGTATAATGTGTTGCCGATGTTCAGGAATGTGATAGATCGCGTCTAGAAAAAAGAACATTCGCATTTTAGGTTAAGTTTTGCGTGTACTTGTTCAACAATATCCACGTTTTTGTTAATAAAATTATTATGGCAGAATCGGCGAAGGTAAGTAGAGCCATTTTTTCGTTTATTCCTACATTTTTCAACATAACAATTATTGTATTACAATCATATGTTTGAAGGTAGAACACTATCCATTTAAAAGAGTCCGAACAAATTTCTGATAATCGTAGGAATTGAGTTGAAGTCCTCCCTGAAATTCGTAAAAAAACTGTGGTATGAGCAGTGCTGCGAGTATTAACGATGTAGACGTGAAAGAGGTGAACAATTTTTTTGAAAAAATTTTTAATTGCTAACAAAGCAGCATTCAACAAACTACTTTTGAATACCCCTACCATACTGTCCTTGCCATTTGTAAAGTGATTGCTTCAACCAAAAAAAGGGCTTCATCGTATTGGAACTCCGTCGCTTATATAAAATGTTGTTTTAGGTTTGTTAGGTTTTTAATCCTTAATGCAATCTAATAGCAGACCTGAGGCAGGACTTTGAATGAGGTTTTGCTGTGAGAAAGCCTTTCTCAATATTACCAACATTATTCAAAGGTAAAGATCATACAGAATCATTGTTAACAGTCTGTTTAAAGTAGCAAATAATATTTGATTCACACAATCCAATGTACAAAAGTAACTTGAAAGGCTCTTTCAATTTCAGAGCTCATAGGTAAAAATTAAAAGGTACTGTCAGAGCAACAATATAATATATGATAATATAGAAGATTAAAGATTTTGTGGTGTGAGACATTGAAAGAATTTAATTTATTCAAAAATATAGTAGGTATTAAAGATAAAAGTAATAAATAAGGCGATTTCAATAACATTTTTCTGAAAATCATCTTGATACAAACCACATACTTATTCATTATAAGGTACACATTGGGAGAGTGGTTAAGATAATTACCAAATAACATCCTTATTATGAACAACAAATACATTGAAAGTACATTACAAACTTTTTAAACAGCTTTGATTTATAGTCACTGTAGTTGTGAGATTAACATTTCTTAAATATTTCATTTTCCAACATTCTGATTTCAAAATTCCTTTGGAATGCAATACATTAATTGGATATTTTCAAAAATTATATTGTATATTGCTCTTAAACTAAGTCTGTTGGGCAATAAACTACTAATATTATTATTCTGACCCATCTCAACTGTGGATTTTTAAAAATGTTCTGAGTCATTAACATTTCTTTGTTGCGGGTAAGACCTGATTCCTCTTAATCTCACGTTTGACAAACCGATCTCTTTCCAAGTATACAGTATAGGATCCAGTGGGGGGATTATACCTGGAAGACAAAGGCAACCAGAAAAGCTTTACACTTGGAACCTGCCCAACAGTTTTCAAGGGAGAGATATTTGCCAACTTGACATAGATGGAAGAGGTTTCAACAGTGCCCTGAGCAAGGCATATTTTATATGTCTTGTCAGTTAAGCAGCCCTGAGGGCAATAGTAAGACAAGTTCAACTTTAGTTTAGGAATGCACCACTGTTCTTCAGAGCTTAGTCTGGTCCAAAGAAGAGTCCCCGTTTTGGATTCTCAGACACAGTAGAGCACCAGGTAATGAGAGCTGATTATCTGGCTAGGCTGAAGCTGGAGGTTCCTGTATCAGCTCCAAGCCTAGGAAAATGAGAAATGTGAAATGAGAAAAGTGTGGCAATATAGATGTCTGCAGGTAGGCCAAGAGGTTCATAGCAGGCCCTGGCAAATGTCGGACGCGCTGATTATTGGGTACAGATAATCACTCAACCTTTTGGTGGGTTTCTCACAGGCCACTGTAGACTGAAAAGTCGCTTGCGGCTTCTAAGGCTGAAAAGATATTCTCTTGACCCTCATTATTGGGATTTTGCGTATTTAGGTAATTAATAAAATACAAATTAGAAAGCTTCAAAATTCAAAGTACTTCCGAAGAGAGAGACGGAAAAAACAGAAATTTGCCAAAATCGTTTTAGAGTTTTGTAGTGGGATTTAAATAAATTGCTCATTAACAATGCCACTTTGTCTCCTCCCTAGATGGCATAATCAATATGAGGTTTCCTCTATATTTTTTCTTATGGTCGCCAAAAATGAATAAAGATTTTAACTCGTGATTCCAAAAATGTATAATGTGTCATACATTGACATTGCCAAACCTTAGTTATATAAAAAACAATTTCCTAGATATTCGTTGAAATTATCAGACACTTTTTTCCCATAACTGATTAATCACAAAATCATATTAATTTTCCCCGACTTTATTTGAGATGCAATTTCGAAATAAACTGCATGCTGTCATTTCCACTTTTTCTCCTGTACAAGATGGCGTGCTCAAATTTTCAATTCAAGGTTCCTTTCCACTTCCATCGCCAACTTTGTTTTATCATATGGACAGTATATTGGAATTTTATACATTTAAATACTACTCAGAATAAAATATTACTTTAAGTAAATATGTGAAGTGATAAATAAATGTATTATACTCATAATTAAATGGAGAATAAAAAAATGAGTGTGCAAAATTTCAATAGGGAGTCCATAAGAAAAAACAAAGTTGAGGATAGAGATCTAATGCAGAAATGCCCTCTTGTAGAGGAGAAAGAGTGTCAATGCTAATTATGCAATTTACGAAACGATTGGCGTACCTAGGGAATTCCAATCTTTTAAAATAACTAAGGTTTGGAAACGTCATATATTATATATTTTTGGAATCAGAATCAAGAACTCTATTCATCTATGCAAGAATTCAATATAGCGACCATCAGAAAAAATAAAGTTGATGCTGAAGGACAAGAGAGGAAACATCATATTGAAATTCTAATTACATCATCTTATAGAGGAGAAAAAGTAGCAATGTTAATGCATTTTATTTTGAAATCCCACAACAAATAATATCAGGAAAAATGATTTTTGGAAAATTCTGTTTGTTCCGTCTCTCTCCGGAAGTACATACTTTGGACTTTGAAACTTTCTGAGCAGCATTTTGTTAGTTACCTAAATACGCAACTTTGTTCTATTTAAGCTACTTCCCCGAGATCCCAATGGTGAGGGTCGAATTTGAAACACCTGGTATACTCAACAGAGTGTTCCGTAATCCTGACCTTTATTATATCAGGACGGTTTGATAGGTTTGTGGATAAGCATGCAGAGTAGAGTGTTGGCTCACTCAGTGTCGGTTAAAACAGTCGCCACTTGTCAGGCTTTACCTCCTCACCACTGCTACTGGTACTACTGCTACTACTAACGCCACTGGATTATTTTAACGAAGAGCTAGCAATATTTTAAGATTTAAAAATTATAATGAAATCCGTGCTAATACCACCTCTATTGACTGTCCATATTATTCTTATAAATTCCTACTGGAGCGTAGTAGGAAATAAAAAAACAAAGTGCAATGTTTCTATATCTAAAAGTGTTCTACCTCTAACAGTATATTTTTGTATACTAAATGAGTAAATGTGTCAAAGAAAGATGCATAATGTCTTGAATTACAACAGTCACATGACTTAAAGGTGCAAGAGTACAAGGAGGAACTAAAAAAACAAGCCGAACAACTCGTTCTGAAAGGGTTCCCAGAAACCATCGTCAAACTAAACCAGATTCTGGAAACATCTCAGTTCAAAAACCGACGATTCACTGATGTCCACCAAGACCTTAACATTCCTGTGCCAGACCCAATCGTCTTGAACAGTCATACCGACCTGCCACCAGCAAAAAAGACCAAGTTGGATGAGCGGATCAGCGATGTGGGCACCAAGGTGATGATACTACCCAGCGGGTCGGTGCCCACAAACAAGCATCTGGTGGACCTGGTCGAGCAGGTCAAGCCTCATATTCGGAGGCTGGTGGAAGATTCCAATTTGGTAAGTTCCTGTGGTTGGTGTATTAAAGAATATTAAAATCCAGGTAGCAAATGTATGCGGTCTGTAAATTAAGTGATGATTCTGATTTTTATTAAAAAAAGTTAATTCAAATATTACAATTTTATATTATTACCTTCAAAATAACTTCCTTCCGAAGCCACACAGCGCTAGAGACGGTTCTACCACTCCTCATAGCAGTGCTGGAACTCAAATACTGGAGTAGCCTTCAGCTGGTCAGTTACAGCCGTTTGAATGTTTTCAACTGCCCCAAAATGAGTTACCTTAACACATACCACCGTCTTGAGACTGTACGAAAACAAAAAGCTCAGAGTTCTAGCGCGTAGTACTAATGCAGCAGCCCTCTAAAATATCTTTAGCATAATATGCTGTACAATTTCAAAATCAGAACTCAGGGTTGCCATTAGAAACAACTATTCTTGGTTGGAAAAAATGTCTAGAAACATCTTCGCAACCCTTAAAAGTCTCACAAAAGTGAAAAACATGGAAATCTAACCCAGCACCCCCCTAAAATATTTTTAACATAATATTCTGTACACTTGCAAAAGCATAACTTGGGGACGCCGTTAGAGAAAACTACTTTTGCTTTGAAAAATGTCGAGAAATACCGTCTAAACCCTAAAAATTCTCATAAAAGTAAAACACACGGAGTTCTGCTGCAGCACCACCCTTAAATATCTTTAGCATACTCTGTACAATTTCAAAAGCAGAACTCGGGGGTGCTATTAGAAAAACTACCTTTGGCGTTACCCGCGGGAAGTTGGTACCCCTTTTTACAACATTCTTGATTATTTTTGCTAGTCTCATCACTTAATTTACAGACCTTGTAGGAATTGACTAAATTTAGATTTTTTTAACTCTGTGTTTCTCTTACTACGCCGTCAAGTGTTTGAAAAGGTCGAAATATGAAAAACATACATCTCTTGTATGTGTATTTGAAACAAGAAACCAAGCAAATTATCACCATGATTATTATTGATGATCCACCTTATCATACTTTCATGATTTTTGTTGTAGATGAAAATGTGGATATCCTTCATGATTCCTAAAATTGAAGATGGAAACAACTTCGGTGTTTCTGTTCAAGAAGACACTTTAGCTGAAGTACAGTCAGTGGAATCAGAAGCGGCAGCATTCTTTGATCAGATTTCCCGGTACTTCATATCGAGAGGTATAAAAAGAAACATAAATGTAGAACGTACATTTTATTTTATGTGATTTTTGTTGTAGGGAAATTAGTGTCAAAGGTAGCAAAATATCCTCACATCGATGACTATAGGCGAGCTGTGCAAGAATTGGATGAAAAAGAGTATCTAAGTCTGTGGTTGGTCATGTCAGAAATTAGGAACAGGTAATTTTGTTTTTGGATCGACACTTATCAGATGTAAATATTTTGCAAAGTTGCCAGTTGTGATACAGATTTTTCATATCTTATTGCATATGGTGTCATGCAGCCTTTACAAGCAAATAAAACTTAATACAATTAGCTAATGGGATGCTGTATACGACTATCAGCGTCAAAAAATCGAGAAGTGTCGTGAAAAATTTAGTTAGATGATGAATCTCTTGGAAACCACGTGTCGTCAAATACAGAATCTATATACTAGATTTTTTAAGAAAATAGGAGTTTGTTGAAATTACAGAATCATGTGTTTTTTAAACTTTTATCATTTTTCATAGTTTCCATTTCATCACTTGTTGAGACAAGCAAAGCAAAACTCGATACAGTAACATTTCAAAAGATTTTTCACTACGTGTATTTATTATGAGTAAATTAAGATGAAATTTCTGTAATTATTACGCATTTCTTTTCAATTTTAGATACTGCGCCCTCCATGATATTGTACTCAAAAACTTGGATAAGATTAAAAAACCAAGGACTTCAAACGCAACAGAATCGCTTTACTAAAAGCGGTCCACTAAGAACACATACCATACGTCTCTCAGTAATTAAGCTAAATTTAAATTAACTAGCATTATTTCATCTTTATTTTTTGTATCGAGCTGTTAGCGACAAACTGTAGTTTCAAGATTTGAGATGGGTTCCATTGCAAAGTTGTGATCCAAAGTTATGCCGCGAAAATAGTTATATAAAGCTTCCCGGTACCCCTGTCTGTTCCAACAGATACGCGTTCAAGGTTCAACACAATTCCTAGGGTGGGGCACTGCTTCCCTGGCACCCCCCTGTGGGCGCCCAAGTATAAAGGTACTGGGAAGCATTGGAGACCCTTGGACGGATATTTATAAGTTACAAGATTCTAGTGAATGTCGTCTGTAGTTGTAAGAAAAAATTGCACTTCTCAAAAAATACTCCATCTCGAATCATGATATACTGCTGATTATGTACAGATTTCCTTTCATAGGTTATGTTCTTTGTTTACGAAGTGCAGGTTTTTTACTAAAATATTGAAAAGTATTTTCATATCTAATGCATTAACATCGCTGTTCTAGACATATATCATTTTTCTTTGAGGATGCTAGTATTATATCACGTGGAATATTTTTCATTTTCGACGACAATAAAAAAATTGAAAAACTGACATATTGTTTGTATTGATATCCACCTCTCGTTTGGCGCTTTCTGTCGATTCCATTTGTGGCCTGGCAGGGGTGTTACATGACTTGAAAAGTGACATTATGTCAGTTTTTTGACATTATGTGGGTTGTTTATGACATGTGAATTTTAGTACTATATATCAACTTTGAACTAGCTATCGTTCTCTTCATGCTCACTGTAGCAGGCGCGGAATGAACTATACTAAGTGACATATAAATCAGAACACCCAGTTTAAATGGTTTTATTTTAATAAAATTTTGTATAAGTACTTAATGAAGCATAATAAGTAAATGATAAAAATTTCGAAATGATTGCACTGCTTTAAAGCCCTTTGACCTTTAATAATGTGTGGATGCACACTGATGTGCTACGCATTCTCCAACGCGCCTAGGCATGCTTCTGATCAGGTGGTCAATGTCCTCCTGTGGTATCTCATTCCAGGCAACCACCAACTCCTCTCGAAGTGCTTCTAGAGTCTGACGAGGACGATGCAAATTGAGCAATCTCCTACCCATCATATCCCACACGTGCTCAATTGGGGATAAGTCGGGAGATCTTGGTGGCCATGGTAACAATGTGACATCATTATGTTGAAAGAAGTCTATTGTGACTCTTGCAACATGTGGTCGGGTATTGTCTTGTTGGAAAGTTGGATCTGCCAGGGTGTCAAGATAGGGTAAAATATGGGGTTCTAGAACTTCGTGGATATAACGCTGCGCGTTCATGTTACCTCTGATGGAGATTAAAGGTGACCTGGAACCATAAGCTAAAGCACCCCAAACTATAACTCCAACAGTGTGATAAACATGTCTTTCAACAAAAAACTGTGGATTCCTCCTTTCACCACGTCGCCTTCTAACCCTGGAACGACCATCGTGCATGCCTAAACAAAATCGAGACTCGTCACTAAAGACAATACTGTTCCATTCCTGATCCCAGAGTGACCGTTGTCTGCACCACTCAAGGCGATTACGTCGGTGTTCTCGAGTTAAAGGGAGGACCCAGTGTGGCCGGTATGAAAACAAGCCAAAACTTCTCATTCGTCGGTAAACACTTCGCATGCCAATAGGTCTTCTGTGTTCTGCAAACCATTCATTTGCAATGGACCTGGTAGCGGAGAAACGGTCCCTTAAGGCCAATAATCTTAGGCGGCGATCTTCACGGTCTGTTGTTCTACGGCGGCGTCCAGTGCCCCTTGCTCTTTGCGTACGGCCTTCTCGAAGCCATGCCTGACAACACCTAACCACAGTGTCTACACTTCTTTGCACTCTAACTGCAATTGCCCGAAAAGAAAGTCCAGCTTCCCGAAGTCCCACTATACGGCCCCTATCAAACTCACTAGGTTGACGAAATCGTACAGGTCTCCGTACTCTAGGCATCGTAACCGATCGTAAAGGATGTCAAGAACCAAAATCCGCCAACGTTGATTCTTTACTGCGGCTGAAATATTCATTTTTAGAGCGTTAGTGAATTAAAAAAAAACAGTATAAAAACCGGAATGTCCAACTGATAAGGCTGAAAATTTTTTCACTTGTTATTTACAGTAAGATAAATACATTCACCAACTTTTATTAAAATAAAACCATTTAAACTGGGTGTTCGGATTTATGTCACTTAGTATATTTACACACTAGCAGCTACCGAGTCAACAAGTTGAATGTTATCGTTTTTTTGACATTGTATATGTTTTTTACGTAATAACCGTGCCGACTTGGGACGGCAACGATACACATTGTATCGAAATCATCGACGCTTTGGCACCGTCGGTGTATGACCATATTTCGATGCATCAAAATCGAAGTGATCAAAAACATAGTATCTTAAGTGTACTGCTATTTCTAGATGAGGAATGGTATCTCCAACATATGCAGAATCTTCACATTCCCGACATGACAAAAATCTGTTTAGTATTAGCTCAGTGACCTCAATATTAACAATAGTAGGCTGTAGTCTCTGATCTATAGATCTTTACACGGTTTTTGGCAGGTCACAGTAGAACTACAGTAGCTACTTTTACGCATGCATCTTTCTCACACATATACATATGTATAATCCGCCTGAATATGCGAACATTGGTGTTCGCTCAAAGCCATACGTTCCTTAGTTGTTTTACCGCTTTGAAAAATTTCTTGTCAACGTATAAGTTGCAGATTCATGCTTGTCCCTGTCAGTATGACAACTTTCTTATGGATGTGTGATTTGTTTTAACTTGCTTGATCCTCGATATGAAATATAATAGTGACCGAAGATACAAGTACAATATAAACAGCTTGCAAAAGAACCATTCCAGAATGTTAGAGAAAACAACTGACCTCTACCACCCAATTCATGCGTGTGCGGGTGTGTATGTCTGTGCAAAAGCGAGAAGCAGTTACGTTACGGATCAGCTTGCGCAGTGTGAAATTTACCTTGGGAAATTTCAACTTTGCACATGATATCATTAACCAATCTGTTTACTTATTTCATATGGCGTTCTGACGTAACCGCCAAAAACGGTGAAAAGTTCTATATTTAACCATAGATTACGGGACTATCGTAAAATTTAGGACGGTAATAAAAACTTACATTTTACAAAAAAATCTTTAGAAAAACTCTTGAAAAATAGATGAAACATATTTCTAAGAGCTAAACAATAAAATGCAAAAACAAAATATCAATAAAAGTTTAAATATATTTTATTTGACACTACATTCCTTGCATATATTTCCACCCTTCGGGCCCTACACAAAATGGATGAGATTTCTTGAAGTAGTTCTGCTGGGGTGCGCTGATGTCCATTTCTGACCATTCTTTCCTTTCAAACTCAAAATAATGGGTTTAACTAGAAAGTGATTTGTTATACTCGTACAAGGTTCAACTTGAGGCTGATGTATGCTATCGTCGGAGTTCACATGGCCGACATCATTATTTTCTCTCTTCCTCTTCATTTATAGGCAAATTCTCGTCCAAATATAATTCATCATTTGAATCATCTGATCCCTTCATCGATTCTACTTCAAGATTATCTTGTTCCCAAACGCCACTATCCTCATATGGGTCTGGATGACCGTCTTTTCCCTCCATAATTTTTCTCACTTCTTTTCTCAATTCAGCGTGAGATACGGACCGGTTTGAAGTCATTTCGCTGGAAAGACATGTCCTCAGAACGCCATAAGAAAAAAAAATTGAATACACCTTACCTCAGAAGTAAATGTCAGCAAAACCGCTTTTGACAGAATGGAATAAAAATCAGCTTGCGCGAAAACCTACAAACAGTAACACGTAAAATTTACGATGAAAGTGCAAGATCTCCGTTGCGCTTGACAAATACAGGATGTTGCGTAAACTGGAGTCTAGATGAGAACTAAATAGGAAGGTACCAAGAGTCCCATCCTGATACGCTATTCGAAAATGAACGGAATATCACGATGAATATTGTCGATGGTAAATTTTACGAATGTCCCGTACTCTAGGGTTGAATTACTCTGAATATTTTAATATACATCCTATTTCTCTTTGTTATAGTTATATACCAGATAATTCTGCAATCGGTTACAGAGCCATCGTTCTTTTATACTAATCAAGTTCCTATGTAGTAGTAGTAGAAAGATTTATTTAGCACATTTGGCTACATCAACAGAATAATTGTAAACAACTTAGAACTATATGGTGTATGATGTAAATGCTGGGCAACCTATAATTGTAGATTTAACAAGTGATTTCTCAATTTTACTTTAAATTTTGTCAAAGTTTTCTGGTCTTTCATCTCCGAGTATAATTTATTATATTCAATCAAACTTTGATGGAATACAGATTTATAGCATATGTTATACTTTTTGGTCATTAAATGGAAGTCATCTTTATTTCTGGTATTATGTAAATGATGGTCGACATTTGATGATGTTAAATTAGTTAGACTTGATGGAAATATATTATTTTTTACTTTATAAATGAATATCATTACAAGATATTCGATAAAATTTTTTACATTGCGTCATTTTAATTTGCTAAGCATTTGCCTAATTGGAGTATATTTATATTTATTTAGTATTATTCTCATGCACTTATTTTGTAAAATTTGCAGTCTTTCAAAAATGGAATTATTTGCTAAATATAGAATAGTCGAACAGTACAAGAAATTTGGAAGAATGATGGTATTATAGATAATTTTTCTGCTATATGAACTCAGACATCCAGAAACTCTCGATAAATATCCCACTACTAATCTTATTTATAACTTTTTCATAATGAATATCAAAAATTAATCGAGAGTCAACAAAAACCCCCAGGTATTTAAAATTTTCTACGAATTCAATATCTTCACCATCAATATTCAGTTGAACATTTGTACATTGTTTTTTTCCGATTAACAAGGCTTTCGTTTTACTTGCATTTAATTTTAGTCTGTTAGATGCTAACCATTTTGAGACAAGCTGCAAGTCTTCATTTATATAAGAGATACCAGACTGAATATTTTTAGTACTTATATAAATCATAGTGTCATCGGCAAAAATCTGAATTTTGCATTTTTTGACTATGGCAGGTAAATCATTTATGTATAAAATAAAAAGAAGTGTTATTTTATTTCTATAGTTTTTAAAATCGATGAAAAAAGCGGTGAGGGAATTCCACCATCGGATAAAAGAACGAATCCGCTGGAAATGATTGCAATCGATGAATTCATCGCTGAATTATTGGAAACACAAATTGAAATAAAGCAACCTATGTTTCGATACGATCGATGTATACGAGGGCGTTGTTTATAGATGTCCAAACATTGATGATTTCGGGGCCCGACGCACGTGAGTCGCGTGCGCGTTTTGTGGCGTACACCATCTTAGATCTGCAGAATACCATATAATTTTAAACAGTTATTATTTTATTTTTGTTCAATATACATAATGATTGACATTTGCCATTGAAAACACACACATTGCTTTTGTATACGTATTGCATATTATAGACATTTATTGTATGGGTTGTTTAAAAAATATATGTATACATTTCTTGAGTAATACTTCTGATGTTGCTCAGTAATAACCATAGTCGATAATTTGTATTCCTACTTAGCTTTAACATCTTCTACATTGGGTGTCCAAGGAACTGGGTTGATATATGTCACTGATGTCGAGCTACACATACCTGAAAGTATTGTCGGAATTTTGTAAAACCAGTAATCATGATTCTTTTTCAAGGCTGAATACAACTTGAGATATCCTCATTGAAATGGCGTCTTTCCCATGTGACAACCCATACATTCTTTTTTTTTTGCTGCGGGCAGTTTTTTAAGGTCTTTTAGATCATT